GGGCTGGGGATTCGAACCCGCCACCTTAGGTGTACGTGGCTGGCACCTTAGCCGGTTGAGCTATAGGCGCCGAGCCAACTATTTAAATTTTTAAAATCATACAATTAAAACAGGTTCGTTGTTTAAAAATCAGGATAAATTAAAATTAGTGACCAAAATCCCAAGATCCTTTGTTGATATCACACTATATCCTCTTCTGGGCTCCATGCTAACACACCCATATACATTTCTTTCTTTCTTTTCCTTCTTTCCTTTTCTTCACTTCCCTCCTTTCCTTCCCCCGTCCCCTTTCGTTTCCTCCTCTTTCCTTTCTTTTCAGAGATAGGTCTCACTCTGTCGTGTAGGCTAAGGCTCAATCATAACTCACTGTAACTTCAGATTCCTAGGCCAAAGCCATCCTCCCCACCTCAGCCTCCTGAGTAGCTGGGACTACAGGTTCACACCTAACATACCCAGCTATTTTTAATTTTAATTTTTTTTTTTAATAGAGACAGAGTCTAGCTATGTTGCCCAGACTGGTCTTGAACTCTTGGCCTTAAGTAATCCTCCTGCCTTAGCCTCCCAAAATGTTGGGAATACAGGTGTGAGCCATCATGCCTGGTCTGTTTTTTTCTTTTATAAAAAGAAAGTGAGATTGAATTGCATTGTTTTGTAACCTTTTTCCCTTTCACCAATATTTACCAAAAAACAATATTTTAATGGCTGTGTGGTTTTTCATTATATGAATATCCCACAGTTTACTTACTCTCCTGTTGTGAAAAATTTTATGAATTCTAAATTTTTCACTAAACATTTTAAAACATCTGCAATAGAGTCATTAGCATATAATGATTAATTCAAAATAAGTTCATAGAGGCTGAGTGAAATAGTGTGCAGTTTTTGAGGTTTCAGATTCTCCCTAGAATTGTTTTTCTTATCATTATAGGAGAAATGAGAAAGGACAGATTGAAATGAGAAGGATATGTGTGACAGTCATTAATGTTACCAATTATTCATCATAGGTATGTGTAGATTTTATTTGGAGGACTACATAAAAGTCACATACTATTTGGATCCAAATAAGTTCATTACAAAATAGGGTTTTAAGTGGTCCAATTCATTGCTGTAGTTAAGGGTAGTTAGGTTCATAAGTTTCCCTTTTTACCTAAGATAATCTCCTTCATAAAAAGAAGGAAACATCGAAAATTAGTATGAGTGGGGTTTTTGTTTTCTCTTTTGTTAATAAAATTAAAGCTTCATGACTTCCCTCCTTTAGTACTGCAAGAGAAAATGCTTATGGAAGAAAAACTGTTAAGATCCATGACAAAGGCTCGGCGCCTATAGCTCAAC